TTACAAACTGAAAGATTGGATTGAATCTGGAACAACGTCCATGGACCATCTTTGCTCCAATTGAACTAGACATGAACTAACAAAATCCAGTGTGAACGCACACTTAAAAACATAAAACAAACTTTTGTGGCAGTATCTAGCAATAACAGGCACACACACACTACACCCCAAAATGCACTAAACCAGACTAAAACCCCCTCCCTACTTTCTTTGATTCCTTATCTGTGTGAATGTTATGTAAAAACTGATTCACATTGTTTCTGTACAATGCATTTGTCACTTCCTTGTAAAGTAAAACAAACACAAATTTGAACTCACAGACATACAATTGTTTTTCTTCATTAGGATAGACCGGACACAATTCTTCAACGCGAGGAAATGCATTATCAGTGATGGTTTGTCATCCGGGGGCACACACGGAGAACATGGCACTGTGTGGGCCTCCCCCATCATTAGTATTGGTTTGTGAAGACTGCACCTGACACATGAGAGACACAGGCCGTCTGCGGGGCTCGTCCCGTGAGAGGCCTCTGACAGCGGCTGACAGGACGGCGGGATCACTCACTGACAGAGCGGCTGAGGAGAGCAGTGATACGCAGATGAGAAACAAAATGGACAAGCAGCTGAAAGATAATGGCAGAAAATTCACAATGTGTTTTAAAGGAGATGGTACTTGTGCTGCTATTGGACAATAATAATAATGCACTGGTTTTATATAGGGCTTTTCTGGACACTCAAAAACGCCTCACATCATCATGATCATTTCACTCCATACACAGTGGTGATAAATGACTACCGGGCGGCACGGTGGCTGAGTGGATAGCACTCTCGCCTCTCAGCAAGAAGGTCCTGGGTTCGAATCCCGGCCGGACCAGGGCCTTTCTGAGTGGAGTTTGCATGTTCTCCCCGTGTTCTTCCTCCGGGTACTCCGGTTTCCCCTACCACTAAAAATATGTACAATAGGTCTGGCATGCGCCTCCTGTTCGGCGGCCCCGCTCCAATCTCTGTGTGGAGTGAGAGACAAGTGCCCAAAAAAATAACAATTGTAAACCGCTTTGTGACTCTGGTCTGTGAAAGGCGGTATATAAATAAAGCTTACTTACTTACTTACCGTGGCCACAGCTGCCCTGGGGCACACAGACAGAAGCGAGACAACCAGTATGTGCCATCGGCCACTCCGACCACCACCAACCATTCGCAAACACCAGACTCATTCTAGGCAATGTGTGTCTTGCCTATAACCACACTACAATATTTTGGCACTTTACAGCCGCAGCCGTCCCACTGTCGCACGTGGTGTTCCCAGAGGTCTCCCATCACTTTACTAACCTGACCCTGCCCTCTTTTGCCTCAGAGGTCTGACGGGAAAAATAAGTGTAGTTCTATTTTCAAATTACAACATATTTGACTTCAACTATGCATTTCATGCTAGGAAACCCATAATTTTCTTTACCAACAGAAAGATAAAGAACCTCAACCACAAAAGTCTCAAAGCTGCCATTCATATTTGGAAATAGAACAATAGAGGACTCCACACAATCACCATGACAGACGCACAAGTATAACCCAAGATGAGTTTGTGTAAGCTCTCAGTCGTACAGGGATTAGTCAAAGCAAAGGAAGGTTTCTCACCCATCATCTGTACTTCTTAGCAAGTTTTCCCGACGTTTCGTCCTCAACCTAGCGGACTTCTTCAGGGAATGAATTCTCGGACCGCGCGTTGGAGATTTAACTATTTATAACCCAAGATCTCAGAAATATGGTCAAACAAACCCCAAAATCAAGCATAAATATGTATGGGAATTTTTGCTTAGGTACGCTCAGAATTCATCATTAGGTGAAAGTAGCTCAATCTAAGTATGGTTCATGAACACATTGACACGTTATTAAATTATTATATTATATCATTTTCAAGTTTACAAGGGGCTTTGCAGACGCTATTTTCATGTGAGCAAGGGTGTCTTCCAGCAGCCAATCAATTCTTAGCATCTTCCTGGTTTGGTTCAATACGTAATAACTAGACACATCATTGCACATAAGTCTGAATCTGCAAGTAATAATGACAGTCACGCCAACAGTACATGCGACTGATAAGATTTCACCTCTATTTTTTTAAACATTATATGAGGAGAAACCAAAGTGTTTCATAACATGTGAGATGACCCGTGTTTCTTTCAAGAACTTTTTGTGAAAAAATATGGACACGATTCATGTCTTTCAGGGTATGGAAACGAATGAACAAGGCAAAAAGTGATGACAAATAGGTCAAAAATGTGTCTTAACTTGAGCACATTTTGACTGCCTTAAAAGAAGATTTACCGAAGGGACAAAGCTAAATGATCTTGTTTTAAAACGATTCAAGAAATGTCTCCCATGGAATGAGAAAATATAGCAACAGTTTTTGAAATAAGACAATTATTATTAATTATTATACATATTTTGTTGTGGCATGGATTTTTAGTTAATTTTTACTTTAGTTTCATGGTTTCATTTTTAGCTTGTTTAGCTTGTCTTGTTGATTGTTTGCTCTGGCTTGATGTGTTTCACCTGTGCCTCTCTGTGCCCATATGTACCTGTGCTCCTCTCCCCTTGTCTCTGATCCATTGTATTGCCTCTGTCTTTGTTCCTGGTTCATGAGTTTTGTTTGGATTTTGAGTTTGTTTTTACCTTTGACATTTATTTTGTCATCTTTATAAAATCCTAATTTAGCATGTCTCCACGCAACAATATTTGATCATTTTTGGCAGTGCACACTAACTGAGGCACTAGGACTGTAAAAACCTGCACTGCTATTGCTACTCTTTCTTCAATTGCCACTTTTTAATGTACATAATATATCCTGAACAGACTAAATGTTTTGCCTTTAACATGTTAGCACTGTTCTGTCTTTTGCACAATCTAAGTGATCCTATCCATGCCAAAAGTGACATGTGCATTTCTCCAGTGTGAGATCAATGAAGTCTATATCTTATCTATGCATTATGCTTTTTAAAATTGAATAGAAGGACAAGCCAAAGTGTGGCATTACACGTGAGATGATCCGTGTTCCTATCAACCCATTTTGTGTGAAAATATAGACTGGCTTCATGCCTTTCAGTCACTCTTACAGCTGTGGTGATTTTTGAACTCTATTTGAAGCGGATTCTCCACAGTTCACTCCAGCGTTGCTTCACAGGGATAAAGATGCACAAAGTGTGAGTTCGTCTGTGGGGTCCGGGAGCCAAATGCTGCCGCGGCTCTGATTTACGTGCCAGCGCTTGTCACAAACAGGGCGCGCTGCCAACTCAATCCTGTGCTGCTGGGACGGGCCACTAGTGTCACCCGTGTATGAGATACTGCAGGCGGACGCATAAAACAACTCACTGAAAACTTACCTACTTCTTCTTCTGTGGCGGTTCTGAGCTCTCTTAACTTCGGGCACTGCCAGGGCGACGGTGGCTCAGTTGGTAGAGCATTGACCTTCTGAGCTTGGTTATGAGTTCAAGCCCACCACAAGACTTTTTCCCTCGACTCCCATTGATGTCTGATGTTTTGTGTCATTTGGCAAGACACTTAACCCACATTGCCTAAAATGAGTCTGGTGTGTGTGTGAGTGGTTGGTGGTGGTTGGAGGGGCACAAGCAGGTTGCCTCGCTTCTATAAAGTGAATGAATAATGACATGTGGAGTGTCCAAAAAAGATATATAAAACCGATGTCTTATTATTATTTATTATTACTTTGATGTGAAAGCCAGATCCCGTCAGAGCTCTGAAACAAAGCAGGGTTGGGCTTGGTTAGTGCTGTGATGGGAGTCCTCAGGGAACGCTGTAGAGGCCAGAGTGGAGAGCTTGTGACCGTAAAGTGCTAAACTGGTCTTGTGACCGTAAAGTGCTAAACTGGTGTTGTGCCCTTTGGCAAATCGCTTAACCAACATTGATGAGAATGACGCCAGAAAGATGGCACCGAGGTAAGGGCTCTGGTGTGTGCCGTTGGTGCTGACCGGGGTAGTCTTGCACAGTTTTTCTAATGTGGCTTTACAGCAAGAAGGTCCTGGGTTTCAAATCCCGATCGGAACAGGATCTGTCTGAGCGGAGTTTGGATGTTCTCCCCGTGTCTCTTCAGGTTTCTTCTGGTGCTCAGGTTTCCCCTACCACTAAAAACATACACGGGGGCTGTACTACGGGACCACTGCTCCTGACGGAAGCCTTAGTGGCATCAGGATGGGTCAAAGGCAGAGGACAAATTTCCCTACGGGGACAATAAGCGTGGCCCAAGGCAGCTGTGGCTAAAGCAGTTTATCACAACCATGGAGGTGATATAAATGAAAATTGCCATATGAAGCGCCCTTGAGTTTCCCAAAAATTGTTGTATAAAACCGATGTATTTGTATTAATAATTATCATTATTATATAACTTAAGAGTATCAGTCATAAGTTCTCACTCATTTAGTCAAGTCTACAGGTCAACCCTGGACTCACTTGAATAAATGGGTGGAGTCTGCTGTGCTCCTGCTTAGTTGGAGTGAAATCCTGCACCCACATCAATTATGAATGTAGGGTAAGAAAGTGAATGTGGAGAGGGGAGGCTTTGTATCAGTTTGTGTCGGTATTAAACGTCGCAAACATAGTCCTAAGCCTCGCCTACTCCGGGTTGAATGGATCTAAATTTTAAGTAAGAGGGGCACCAGCAAGAAGTTGCAATTGAACTAGTCCATTCTGCCTCGATCAGTCTCATAATCTGATAGGTCTTGAGTTCTATATCGGCCAGGGATATCATGAATTATACAAAGAACGCTGACGACTCTTAAAAGTTAGCGTGGGTTTATTAACTACATATAGAAACGGGAACGGTAACCGGGAGGGATCACACAAGTATGATAAGTCACATGAACAGGAATGTCAGAAACACATCACCATCACACACAATACAACTCCAGCAAGTCTTACTGTTACTGCCAAGTCCCAGAGGCGAAGATGCTTTCTACCCGTTTGGGTCAGGCGCTCAAACACTTCAGTCTTCCTCACGCACGGAGAGCGGGCGCACACACACTCCAGTCTTTCCCACACACGGGAACAGGGAGCGGGGATCGGTCCCGGGAAGCCCGGAGGTGGCTTGAGGCGCGATGGTCCACGGTGCTCCTTTTTGGTGGGAGTTGGAGAGCAGTTACGCCGCTGCGGGACAGGCAAGTCGAGTTCAGCTCGATGGGAAAAGGATCGGGCAGCTGTCCGGGCAGCGAGCTCCAACCTGCGCCTGGGTTGAAGTTGTGGGCCCCTGGATCGCGCAGGGGAGTGGGCCGTGCTCCAAGACGCGGCCCACTGGCCCAGAGAAAGTTTCAAAAAGAGTTCCCAAAAGGTTCACAAGCAAAAGTTAACACACGAAAAGTTGCTGTGTCTCTGTTTTTGTTCCGGCTCTCGGGGCGTTTCTTATGGCGTCAACTTTCCGCGCCTCCAGAACTCCTTTCATGAAATCATAGTTTTAACCACATACACGTTACTTAGACATAGACACACAACACACCTTGTTCACAGACAATGGTACACACGTTTTCTGATTTAAGATGTTAGCAAAACAACATATTCATCCGTGGTTTAGGTTGTCCGTCTCAGGTGTATTGGCGTCCCGTGTCCACTGGGGGGGTGGTGGAACGCCGTTGCCGGATCGCCGGCCCATGGGTGATGTCTATGGCTTTGTTTGAGGCGATGCAGACCCACTGGCCCCCTTTGAACTCGCCGGGGGTGGGGGCCAGAGGTGTGCTCTGGGGACGATCACTGTCTTTGAGATGACTGCTGTATCTATGTGAGCCATTGTGGTGCTCTATCCGACCTCCATCGCCTTAGATGTTCCGAGCCGTGTGTTTTTGTTATCTCACACACAACCCCGCAGCTTGGCCGGCTTGCCTGGGGCATCGCGGGGGCAGTGCATTGTATTACCTTGCATGAATAAATAAACATCGGCCCTTTCTGGAACCAGTTTGACAGTAAATGACTCAACATCAACAAGCAGAAGTGTTAATTGGACGATTTCCAAACAGAAGTAGCATCAAGTGTGAAATGCATTTGCGTTGTTTTCTTCTTTTAATTTGTTTTCACTTATTTTAGCTGTGAACATGTCTGCCTATTTCATCACATGAGACACTTATTTATTCACTAAATAATTGTTTTGTATCATAGCATTTCTTGTGTTTGAACTATTTGATTCTCTGATCTGCTGGCAAAATCACAAGTTTTGTGGTCCTCTGAGATACCTACTGTTGGCATTTAGAGCAATACATGAATACTTTTAGAAGAAGAATAAGTTCCTTTATTTGTCCCACAATGGGTAAATTTCAGTTTGACACATACACAAACACATATACAAATACACATACACATACACATCAAGGCAAGCAGCGAACATCACTTCCTCATAGGCAAAGCGGGTTAAGTGTCTTGCCCATGGACACAACGACAGCAGACATCAGTGGGAGTCGGTGGAGAGGGTCTCATGGTGGGCTGGAACCCACAACCTTCCGGCTCAAAGGCCAATGCTCTACCCACTGTATTGTACAATTAATACTTTGAAATATAGGAGACAACATGAATAAACAAAGGACGCTTGCTCACCTATCATATGTACCTCAGTTAGCAGGTTTTACCGACGTTTCATTCTGAATCCTAAGAACCTTCTCAAGATAATGAAATCCTAGAGCAAGAATACACATTTGTGATGCGATCTGGGAAAACCCGTCGGATGTCGCACTGGCACGTTCCGAGTAAAGAGTGAAAATAGGTCAAGTGTCAATTTTTTGGCTAAATTGTGCTTTCATTAAATAACTATTATATAACATCTTGTCTTTAATTTCTGGAAATATCTAGGTGAAATTCACTAGTTTCATACTTTTAAAATTGTGTTTTGATAAACCGAACGTTACGTTACGTCCACGCTCTGACCCCGGGGGCAGCTGCAGCCGCTTTGACAGCTCAGTGAAAGCACTGCCGTAACGTGGCTTCGAGCGTGGACCATAGACATGCGGATAGGACCATAGACACGCGAACAGGACCATAGACACTCGAACAGGACCATAGACACGCGAACAGGACCATAGACACGCGAACAGGACCATAGACACGCGAACAGGACCATAGACACGCGAACAGGACCATAGACACGCGAACAGGACCATAGACACGCAAACAGGACCATAGACACGCAAACAGGACCATAGACATGCGAACAGGACCATAGACATGTGAACAGGACCATAGACACACGCGGACAGATCCCATAGACACGCAAATCATAGACACTTTGGACCAAACCATAGACAGAACCATACGCGGACAGAACCATTGACACGCTTTCAGACAATCCTCAGCTTGTTGCAAGTCCAGGTCTCCCCGGTGTCTCGTATGCGCAACCAAAACTCACAAAATTAAAGCTCGGGTACCTAATTTTCTCCTTGCATCAAAAATGCTTTGTGGTTGTGCGTGGATACTGCATGATTTGATAGAATAATACTGGCATTGTCTAATACAGTGCCTTGAAAAAGTTTTCCCCTTGAACCTTTCAACATTTCGCCACATTTCAGGCTTCAAACATAAAGATATAACATTTTAATTTGTTGTCATGAATCAACAAGTGGGACACAATCGTGAAGTGGAAAAAAATTTATTGGATAATTTAAACTTTTTTAGCAAATAAAAAACTGAAAAGTGGGGCGTGCAATATTATTCGCCCCCTTTACTTTCAGTGCAGCAAACTCACTCCAGAAGTTCAGTGAGGATCTTTGAATGATCCAATGTTGTCCTAAATGACTGATGATGATAAATAGAATGCACCTGTGTGTAATAAAGTCTCCGTATAAATGCATCTGCTCTTTGATAGTCTCAGGGTTCTGTTTAAAGCGCAGAGAGAACCATGAAGACAAACGAACACACCAGGCAGGTCCGAGATACTGTTTAAAGCCGGATTTGGATACAAAAAGATTTCCCAAGCTTTAAACATCTCAAGGAGCACTGTGCAAGCAATTATATTGAAATGGAAGGAGTATCAGACCACTGCAAATCTACCAATACCCGGCCGCCCCTCCAAACTTTCATCTCAAACAAGGAGAAGACTGATCAGAGATGCAGCCAAGAGGCCCATGATCACTCTGGATGAACTGCAGATAACTACAGCTGAGGTGGGAGAGTCTGTCCATAGGACAACAATCAGTCGTGCACTGCACAAATCTGGCCTTTAAGGAAAGAAGAAAGCCATTTCTCAAATATATCCATAAAAAGTCTCGTTTAAAGTTTGCCACAAGCTACCTGGGAGACACACCAAACATGTGGAAGAAGGTGCTCTGGTCAGATGAAACCAAAATCGAACTTTTTGGCCACAATGCAAAACGATATGTTTGGCGTAAAAGCAACACAGCTCATCACCCTGAACACACCATCCCCACTGTCAAACATGGTGGTGGCAGCATCATGGTTTGGGCCTGCTTTTCTTCAGCAGGGACAGGGAAGATGGCTAAAATTGATGGGAAGATGGATGGAGCCAAATACAGGACCATTCTGGAAGAAAACCTGTTGGAGTCTGCAAAAGACCTGAGACTGGGACGGAGATTTATCTTCCAACAGGACAATGATCCAAAACATAAAGCCAAATCTACAATGGAATGGTTCACAAATAGACGTATCCAGGTGTTAGAATGGCCAAGTCAAAGTCCAGACCTGAATCCAATCGAGAATCTGTGGAAAGAGCTGAAGACTGCTGTTCACAAACGCTCTCCATCCAACCTCACTGAGCTCGAGCTGTTTTGCAAGGAAGAATGGGCAAGAATTCCAGTCTCTCGATGTGCAAAACTGATAGAGACATACCCCAAGCAACTTGCAGCTGTAATTGCAGCAAAAGGTGGCGCTACAAAGTATTAGCGCAAGGGGGCCGAATAATATTGCACGCCCCACATCAGTTTTTTTTTTGTTAAACAAGTTTTAATTATCCAATACATTTCGTTCCACTTCATGATTGTGTCCCACTTGTTGTTGATTCTTGACAAAAAAAAATATTTTTATGTTTGAAGCCTGAAATGTGGCGAAAGGTTCAAAGGGGCCGAATATTTTCGCAAGGCACTGTACATATAATGTTCAGTCACTTATGAAGAGAGACACAAAAAAGGAAAAATTACATAAAACAAATTCAGTTCATTGAAGAATAAATAATACATTCTTGATTTTCATCTAATTATTGAGTGTCGTGTGTTTAATTGGTGCCAAAGTGACATTTTTTAATCTTTTACAACATAGTGACTAAAATAAGTGCGTGCCATAACAGCGTTATTCAAATTTAACATGTTTTATTTTATTGTGGTGATTCTATTTAGAATGTCTTCTAAATCTTTAAACCTGTTTTTCTCAGAATTCTGTTTCATAAAACCATGTTAAGAAGACTTCAGATAATGATAACTTTTGTTAGAGACATGCTTTGAAAAAAAGGAAAACAGATTAGAAAAGAGATAGAAAGCAGCTTTAAGATTGTGTCAGAATCTTAAGTTGGTCAAATTTCACCATGTGATGGGTTTTCCCAGATCACACATTTTTTCTGATCTTGACCAATCAGTCACTGTAATTCTGCTCAAAACTAGACAATACATACCATATCGTGATACCGTATGTTTTGTTGTAAGATAGAAGGTAAAAGCCTGGTAAATGTAGAACTAACAGAGCGAGCCATATGCTTTTTTAAGCTTTATTTATATACCGCCTTTCACAGACCAGAGTCACAAAGCGGTTTACAATTGTTATTTGTTGGGCACTTGTCCTCTCACTCCACACAGAGAGTTTTCAAACACCATAAGCGCTGAACTTCTACTTTTTTTGCAAATTCCAGTTATAGCCAGCAATATGTGAGGACTGCAGCAGTTTGCTCCACACCATCAATAACAAAAAGGCTCGTGCTGAAACTGTGGATTCTGCAGGGCGCACCGTTTACATGACAAATGCACACTGTGATTGTAATCGAGGCTGGTTTTTGCTCTGTTCTGGGTCTTTACCGAGAAACTGCACCTGAGGGAGGGGAGACAGCGGCGGTGGTGGGGTCGTGATGCTGAATGTGAACGCAGGTCAGACATACAGTTGGACTTGTAAAAACTGGCCGAGCAAAGTGTGATTATTTTTTTTTTAAGCGTAAAATTAGGAGGAACTCAGGAAGTCAAAGTCAATTTACGTCATTCAACTCACAATGTGAAACTATTAAAAGATTTACTACAGACAAGGTGAGATATCCTGTATTTATAAAAATGTGATAATTGGGTCTATTATATATATTTTGTTTTCATTTACAAAATTAGTATTTTGCATTAAAAAAAGCCACATTTATTTTGTTATTTGTACTGTACTCAATTATCTATATATTTTAGCGTAAACTCTCATTGTCTGACTCTTCATGGATTGGCTTTGAGGTAAAAAAAAACCCTTGAACCCAACATTAGCAGCACATTAGCCGCCGGCCCACCTCCCCATGAGGCAAATAAGTGAGACGTCCAGGAAAGATCATTATCACTGGACTCTACATCGATCTGTTCTAATGAATTACCCGCTTAAAAGATGCGACTGGAGATCGTTGACAACACACACCTCTCTTTGCTCACACCAGATTTACATGTTATTATCATATACGTCTCATGCATTAAAACCAATTTTGCAATTATTCTACCATGAAAAAATAGTAGCCAAATTTTGCTTTCTATAACTGATGCAAAAAACACTTGGGCCACTTGAGGGAGTGACCATTCCTCAATTCCATGTATCTTTGTATAGCCTTAAATCACTATAGCAATCGTCTCAGAGAATTTTAAAAGTTATCGATTCATCAACCTGTCAGAGAATCAAACAGTCCGACACAGAAAAAAAACAATAATAACAAACATATAGAAGTCATTGGTCCAAAGGGAGTGGATAGACTGTCCATGTCCTTAAATGTTAATAAATCTCCCAAAAATGGCCTTAAATGTTCACTGTCCTAAGACCCTCCTGTATTGGCAAGGAACAAAAACTGTAGAAATCTTGGGCAGGCCCTCATTGAGAAGGGCCCATGGACGGACAGGCTACAGACCCAGGACTCAGGTTGTAGAACGAGGGTTGAAATGCAGGACTGATCACTCTCTCAATTTCTTTTTATTTTCATGATAATGTCTTGTTTCTTTGGCACATACAGTAAAACGGCTGTGTCCATGCTTGTCTAACCCTTATCTCCATGAAGCAGGAGACCACTTCAGGGCAAGATATTCACAGACCTATGATATAAAACTTCTAAAATAGAGGGAGTGAAAGCTAGATTAGACAGAGAGGCGATTATGAAGTGTGAATACTTGCCGACTCAGCATTATCTGTAATCAATGCGGCCACTTTATCTGTTTGAATAGTCCTCTTGTCGCTGCACCTATGGCCATAACTCTGTCCTCTGTGTGTGTGTGTGTGTACGTGTGTGTGTGTCTATGTGTGTACATCAATAGATTTTCTCATCCGTGGACGGCTTCCATCCCCGCACACCAACATGCTCCATTTCACTCATTTTATTTTTCACAGTTTCGCAGCGAAGCTCAAGTGCCACATTCTGCACTGAATACTTTTCATATGAGTTTATTTTCTTCTTTGTGGGAGATTCATAACTTTTGTGTTGTGGTATAGAGATATGAACTCACACAGATGAGCACAGTTGATGTCTAGACTCAAGTATATACCGTAAAAATAATAGATTCTAGCTTCAACTATGTGATCCACTAAATCAACTATGGTATGGATGTAATTAAAGAGGAACTATTATGTGTTATGTTTTTCCATTAAAATATATAATACAACTTTTCTTTGTTTGTCATTGTTTTTGAAAATGAAACCGTATTTTAAGTAGAACAAATATGGTTAAATGTGTAAGAATGGTTACAAAGGTTTGTTTTAACTGTAACTCCCTATGCTACCAGCAGGGGGAGAAGCGACATTTTTTATTATTTTATTTTAACATTATTGTGTTGTATAGTGATATGAACTGTCGATGTCGTCTGGTGTTAGGTAAATAAGAAAGGATAAATATTAGTGCACAAATCAACTGTGGTTTTGATATATTTAAAGAACAACTATTATGTGTTATGTTTTTCTGTTAAAAATTAGAATACGATTTACTTTGTCATTTCATGTTTTAGAAAATAACATGTTAAGTAGAAAATTATTGTAACCCACATTAAAATTGTCATTTTTATTAAAAGAAATACGCCACACAAACACACGCAGCGCGCTCAGCCAATCAGAGCAGAGTCACCGGCAAGTAGGAGCCACCTGTGTCTCCCACACTCAGACGTGGGCTGAGGCGACACAGGACGGCTGCACAGGTTGGTGACTGCGAACATTAAATGTATAATAGAACTAAGCTCATTGTGAATTGCTAAAACCCTCAACTGTATACAGAGGGCCTTGCTACCGCTGCGGGCACTGGGTGCTGGTTAGGCTCAGTTAGAAAGTGAATTGGTGAGTCTGTTTGTCTGCTTGTTTGTTGTTAGCATTAGCAACAAAAATGCGCTAGCATCATTGCTGGTGCTCATAATGACTGCTAGTACTGTTGATTAATTGTGTAGCATTTGTAATACTGTTGTATATTTAAGTCATTGTGTTGATAATAGAACCTTTGATTGAAATGTAATGATTGTTATTGTGCACTAATATAAATAGTGTACATTGAATATTCTGTACACAGGATTTTCTAATAGCTAGCTAGAGTTTTTATGTATTCTGATTTGGTACCGTTTATTTAATACAGGCTAGGTGTGCCCCATTTGAGCTGATCTTGATCTGATGGCGAGCTAAGACCAGCCCAGGATCTAAACTGAATCGAGACCTGCTGTGGGTAGGAGGCCTTGCAGCCGGGCCACTCTCTGACTGTTCCTTATATAAAGCTCACGCTCTATGCTCTCGCGAACGGACAATTGCGTCTCTAAAAGAACTCAATGGGCATTTATAACTCTTCACTCCCCCTGGTGTGAGTTTGATAAGAATTGTTACCTCAAGAATTATCAATATCGTGTACTGTATACCGTAGCAACGGATCTCTTTTTGTTTGGTTTTTTGTATACATATATATCTGTAGAGTTTGTAAATATCAGGTGCGCTGTAAATATGTAAATCATTTCAATATAAGGCATCAGCCACTAAAACGTAACCAGTTGGTCTGTGTGTTTAAATACTTTATCTCCCTAGAGCCAAACTAATTAGACTTCTGGTACTATCTATCATTTCATATCATTGTACTTGCTACATTATGGTTAACACGTATAAAGGAAAGACAGAATGCATGCCTTTTCCATCTGTAGTTCCCTATGCTACCACCAGAGGGAGCATAGGGAATTAGAGATTTTTCTTTTATCTGAAAATTTGAAAACTTTTGATGTCACTGTGGTACAATGACATCACACTGAGATATTACAGGACTAAGACAGGACCTTGGAAAAGTCTTCCCACAACCTTAAAGCTGGGATACCTAACTTTCAACCTAAAAGAAAAAAAAAATCGTATTCTGAAACAGTTAGGTTCAACCATGTATTTTCCGGTCTACTGTTTTCATACAAAACATGAAAAACAAAGGACCACACTCACTCAGCCAATCAGCTCCCAGCCCAAAGAGTCAAAGAGTGTTACAAATGCCTCATTCTTAAAATAACGCCTGACATATATCTTTAAATTAAAGGAGCAATATGTAAAAATCTGGCCAAAAGTGGTACTGCAGTCACAGTCAATATTTTGTAGTCCTCTCCCACTCTCCCTGACTCAGGTTGCCAGATTCACACCAAATCCAGCAGCAAACACAGGGAATTATTTTATCAGTTGTTTGTCCGTCTCCATTCACATTGCCATGACAGCCGTGCTAATGCTGAATGAATGTTTTGATTAATGTTTTTTTATTATTATTATTTGGACATTTGAGATAAAAAACAAAAACAAAATAAAAGAAATGTAATTATACATAGTTTATGCAAAATAAATAAGCAATTGATGTCCAAAATAGGAGTGGGAAGAATGGATGTTGGAACGTATTTCTTCAGCGTATCAACATCAGGGTTTGCTCAAGAGGATATCACCTTTCAATTTTATTTATTCCCTATTTTTTAGACAAACATGTAAAAGTCCCACATCAAAAAGAGACTCACATTATTTTAATTGGGGTACATGTGGTCTTAAATGATTATTTTTACAATTAAGCTATAATCTGCAAAAAAACGTCTTGACCTTCATCTTTTACCGTTTTTAGAGCAATCTGTCATAGAATGTAATAACATGCAATAAATACAAAAAGACATAGCCCGGGATCGAACCCGTGTTCCTGCATCGTAAGCGCGCATCTTAGACCGCTAGGCCACCGATTCACACGAAAAGAGATGCTGTAAAGAACGCACTCAAACTAGAAAATTCTGCATCACACATGAACTTTTATCAGCTGTCTCAATTGTTCAAAGGCATCCCGATATAAATCCTCGTTTTAGTCTTTGTTTTGTCATGAATGATTTGAGAGTCATAACAAGACCTTTTTTAGTTCTGCGCCACATGTTATTTTACCTCTGAGATTAATGAGCCGCACGGAGTTCTGGCAACCCGATCACGGACGTACATGACACTTCCTGATTGGCGAAACGGCGGAGGGTAGGACATCAAAATCAAAACAATAACAACTTTTACGGGTCGTAAAACTAATTTTGATAATCAAATATCTCGGCTGCACTACTGTTATCAGTTAAAGATGAATTCGAAAAGAGTATGATTTAATAACTCCTTTTGAAATATTCGGGTCATTTAATGAGGACTTGACATGCAAATATTACATATTGCTCCTTTAAGAGAAAAACATTTGTAGTCTGATTTGTTTACAAAAAAATATCTTTTCAAGACTTTCTATTGGAAGAAACAACATTTACTATTTATGGTTTTACAAATATTTCAGGTACCCCAGCCTTAAGCCCGTTCAACACCACCCCTTCAAACCTGGATTCCTAAATGTAATCTCAATCCCTTACACACTCGTCGGATCAGATTAGAGCAGAGAGCACAGAGAATGACACAGGCACTGAAGCAGCAGATGTAATAACCTGTGTAACCTCATTTGCATGATCTTTATTAAACAGTCACCAAACGCGTCCCGCTCGCGTTGGCGTCGGAACAAAAGAAACAGTGGAACACATCATGGCAACACGGATATTAAACAAGACAATCCACACGTCGACAGGAATGAGATAAACGGGGGAATGAGAGGGTCAAGAAAAGGTTCTGCAAACAAACATGTATACAGATATCTAAAAGGCAGAACAGGTAAAAGGCCATTGGTTTTGTTATGGTTCTTTTGAAAGACAAGTTAGTGTTTATTTCAAACATGCACAAAATAATTAATCACGGAAAAAAATTATAAGACAAGATAAGAAAACCTCTGTATGGTTTGAAAAGGGATCGGTCGAAGCAAAAAGATAATTTTAACCCAATCCTCTCAAAGTTAGATTCAATTCAATGTTTTTTGTATAGCCCTAAATCACAGACGTTTTGTTACTTTGGTCTAAGCAGGTGTCTATAGTGTTAAGATAAGATTCTGTTGCGTACATTTCAGCAAATTAAAAGAAGGAATTAACTGCACTCAGATTGCACACATCAAACAGGATCTATTGAGGGTAATAGATAATAAATTACTATATTACGCTTTGGGGAAAAAACTGTATCATGTACTGAATGGGATCATGGATTATAACGCAGAAAATGCTAACACGGACAAATAATGGAAAATCGACTTGTGGCTAATTCTGGTACATTTACAGTAACGTTCATAACATTACACATAATGTTACACATAACACTGTCTCTGTCAAATAAACAAAGAAATACATTAATAAACAAGTGACAATATTGTTAATTGCTTGAAGCTGAAGCAGAGATGGGGACTCGGACTCGATTTGGACTCGTCTCCTAAAGACTCGGGACTTGCCTGTGCGACGGGTTGTGTGTTGGACCCCAAAGCAGAGACAGAGACTGAGCACAATTTTAAGGAAAATATGTTTTTACAAAAAGTAAATACAACAAAAACACAAGGCAGGCAGTGGAGACCGGAACAGGGAGACTCGTGACATTTAATAATCTGGCAGAGAAGTGAGGTCTGCACCAGAGCTTTAAGCAGAGCTGATGAGGAACAGCAGGTGTATGAGAGCCGGCCACGCCCCCAGTCACACACATGCCCTGAAACAAACAGAATGTGAGGATACTTGACTTGGACTTGCGGGTCCAGAGACTTGGACTCCTGGGCTAGGAACTTGGACTTGACTTGGACTTGCGGGTCAGAGACTTGTGTGCATCTCTGAGCTGAAAAGGTTTTTATACATATATCTTTTAAAAATAGTGTACAACCCATGTATGATGTCTCACCTCCTTTTTATCTCCTTGAACCAAAAACAGCGGTACATTTGCGAGTATAAACGCTCCACTGAGGGGAGATGTAATCGTTATCTGTGATTGTCATGGATGATGTGCTTGAAAATGTCAATTTGCTCTTCATCAAGATAAACACGGGCTCCCAGTCACAATGAATGCTTCAATTTCATGGTGTAATCAGAGGATTTCATGGACATGCTGCAGATCCATATCCTGCATTGTACCTGCGCTAACTGATCGTTTATCTCTAATTGATTTACAGGATTTAGCTTTAGAAAATGTGCGAGAGAAACGTTGCAGAGTCTTGTGTCGCCTGCAGGTGGACCTCATCGTTTGTGTATCTTACCATGTAATAGTCGTAAATTTCATTTTTTTCATTGTCCAATTTTCATTGTCCAATGAAAGTTGTACTGCAAACAACAAGAACACTTGAAAGTCTTTGAAGTCTTTTTAGCCAGACGTCTCATGGAAAGTATTGATGGATGAGATCAAAGATGAATGTTATGGAGCTTTCGCGCAAGTTCACCGTGGTAGACCCGGATGCTGCTGCCCAGCTCTACAGGCCTGCTCTCATCCTCGGCTCATCATACCAGCAACGCCCACATCCAGTCAACCAATAACCGCCAGGACAGCAAGTTAAAAGCCGGAGACGCCCACTTCCCGGCCTTCTCAAGTCTGCAAGTGTATGTTCGCTGAAACGGATCTTGTTCACCATGCAGTCTTCGCCCCATGCTCGTGCATCCCCGTCTGTTTCGGGCTCGACGCCTAGCTCCCTGAACGACTCATTCGTTCCTCCCTCGCCTGTGCCCGCCCGGTCGCGGAAGAGCGCGCGTCTGGCATCCCAGGACGCCGGGTCCGTCCGTACCTTCCTCGCGGCCGGCAGCGTCGTGCCAGGTCCGGACGCAGCCCCGCTGCAGCTCCAGCGCATCGTGGAGCAGCTGTCTGCGGATTCCGCCTCCCCCTCCCCGGCTCCGGACTCCCCTCCTCGCAAGCGCCCTCGCAAGGCCAGGCACTTGCGGCCAACGCGCCCTTGCCCCCCCTCCTCTGCGCTCGACGGGCCCCTGCTTCCCCCTGTTTCGTTGGCCTGCCCCGTGCCCGCCCCAGTGCCTCGCCTCGTCGACGTTTCCCAGGCCGCCCCGGTGGCTCCCGGCTCGCCTCCTCCCCAGCCGGACCCTTCCGCTGCGGTTTTCGCGGCCCAGGATCGCGCACGGACGCCATCCTGTCAACTGTTTCATCTCTCCGGCGCTCGGTGGCTGCGGTGTCCGGCCGGCTCCGCGCTGTCGAGTCCCAACCTTCCGCCGCAACCCCGGTGCCCACCCCCACCGTGGCTCTGGCGCCTGCTCCTACCGCTGCGCCTCCCGGCGGCTCCCCGGAAATCGGCTTCTCCCTCTCCACTGCTGTTGCTGCTGCTGCGTCGGGTAGGCCCTTCATAAATGCCTACTCCAACGTCTCCCCGCGCCTGCGGTCTAAGATTCTGCTGGGGCGCTAAGTTAACTTGGTTTCCCTCATCCTCCCCTCCCCCGAGTGTGACAGGCAGGTGGCGGCCTCCTCCCTGGTCACCGCGGTCGTAAAGGCTGCTGATCCCCGCCTGTCGCAGGCGTTGACCATCGGGGAGTTTCTCGTGGCCTTCGGCGTGTACCGTGACGTTTTGTGCTCTGTATACCTCGAGCGCAGGCCCGAGCTGGACGCCTATCTGGGCCTGATGGGGGACCTGGCCTTCCGCTACGGCGGTAGCATTTTCTACCGCTACCATCGGGCCTTCGCTGCCAAAGCTGCGGCCCTCGTCTCCCAGGCAAATGTCAGAGCAGACTGACATTGGCGTGTGCTGTTTTTGGGACCGGGATCACACAGGAGGTCTTCCACAGGACAGGGACCTTCTCCAGGCTGAGGCTCAGGTTGTACATGTAGCTGAGGACCCCAGAGAGCTGGTCTGCACAGGTCCTCAGCAGCCTGGGACTGATCCCGTCCGGTCCTGCGGATTTCCTCAGCTTCAGGCGCTGGAGCTGACTCCTCACCTGGTCCGGTGTGATGGAGAGGGGGGGGGACTGGGGTGTACTGTTCGAGGTGGGAGCTGGGGATGCGGGGGCAGGAGGGCCCGGGGCAGCCGGAGGCAGTGTCCACTGGGCGGTGTCCACTGGGCTGGAGACGTGTGAAGAGGTGGGGGCGGGAGGGGGGGCAGATGGAGAGGGGGGAGAATCAAACCGGTTGAAGTACTGGTTAAATTCGTCCGCCCGGTGCTGGTCTCCATCTGCTGTTCCTCTGGCACTCTGTCCAAAGCCGGAGATGTTCTTTAGGCCTCTCCACACGTCGCGGGCATTTCCCTGGGCCAGCTTCTGCTCCAGCTTTTTCCCATAGTCCTTCTTGGCCCTCCTGATCCTCCACTGGAGCTCGTGCTGAATCCTCTTCTGCTCCTCCCTGTCCCCTGAGATGAAAGCCCTTTTCTTGAGGTTCAGGAGGGCTTTAAGCTCAGGGGTCACCCATGGGTGGTTGTTAGAGAAACACCGCACCTTCTTAGTTGGTACAGTGTTATCCACACAGAAGAGAATATAGTCTGTAATGCAGTGTGTCAGGCTCTCGATGTCCTCACCATGAGAGCTGCAGATCATTTCCCAATCAATGTTTTGAAAACAATCTCTCAGCATCTCATCCACATCATCGCTCCACACTTTTACAATCCTCTTCTGCGCTGGATTTCTTCTCACCACTGGTGTGTATTCCGGAGACAGACGGACCAGGCTGTGATCAGAGCGTCCGAGAGGGGGGAGGGGGGAGGAGGCGTATGCGTCCCGCACATTAACATACAGTAGATCCAGAGTCTTATTGCCACGAGTTGGGCACGTGACATACTGTTTGAATGTCGGGAGAGTGGCGGAGAGGGAGGCGGGGTTAAAGTCTCCGCTGATCAGAATCAGAGCGCGGGGACTGCGGGTCTGGATCTGGGTCACAGTTCTGTGCATCTCCTCACATGCTGCGGCTGCGTCTGCTGACGGGGGGATGTAGACACATAGAACCACGGTGTGTGAAAACTCCCGTGGCAGATACCTGGGTCTCATGCTCACAGCGAGCAGCTCCAGGTATTGAGTCTGAGTGGACCATGTTCTCTTCCTTAATCGCCGATGCGGCGGCTCGTAGCTGTGGTCGCAAGGTCTCTGGTGCTGGTCCCGGCGGCAACCCCCGAACCCGGTGGTGGACACCGGCAGTAAGGGATGCCGTCAGGCTGAAGAAAGAGTCCTATCGAGCCATGATGGTTCGGGGGACTCCTGAGGCAGCTGTCCAGTACCGGCAGGCCAAGCATGCCGCGGCCCGGGCTGTTGCAGAGGCAAAAACCCGGGACTGGGAGGAGTTCGGAGAGTCCATGGAGCATGACTATCGGTCGGCCTCAAAGAGATTCCGGCAAACTGTCCGGCGCCTCAGGAGGGGGAAGCAGTTCTTTGCCAACTCCATGTACGGTGCGGGGGGTGAGCTGCTGACCTCGACCGGGGATATTGTCGGACGGTGGAAGGAATACTTCGAGGTTCTCCTCAATCCCCCCGTCACGTCCTCCGCTCCGGAGGCAGAGGCTGAGGATGTTGGGGCGGATACTTCTGTCACCCTGGCAGAGGTCACCAAGGTGGTTGGCAGCCTCCTTGGTGGCAAGGCGCCGGGAGTGGATGAGATCCGTCCTGACTATCTAAAGTCTCTGGATGTTGTAGGACTGTCTTGGCCGACAAGTCTCTGCAACATCGCGTGGCGATCGGGGGCGGTGCCAATGGAGTGGCAGACCGGGGTGGTGGTCCCTCTCTACAAGAAGGGGGACCGGAGGGTGTGTTCCAATTATCGTGGGATCACACTCCTCAGCTTAGGTTTACTCCAAGGTACTGGAGAGGAGGTTACGGTCGATGGTCGAATCTCGGATTCAGGAGAAGCAGTGTGGTTTTCGTCCCGGCCGTGGAACACTGGACCAGCTCTACACTCTCCATCGGATACTCGAGGGTTCATGGGAGTTCGCCCAACCTGTCCACATGTGCTTTGTGGATTTGGAGAAGGCGTTCGACCGTGTTCCCTGGGGTGTCCTTTGGGGGGTCCTCCGTGAGTACGGGGTCCGGGGTCCTCTGCTGAGGGCCGTCCGGTCCCTGTATGACCGAAGCCAGAGCTGCGTGCGCATTGCCGGCAGTAAGTCAGACCTGTTCCCGGTGCATGTTGGCCTCCGCCAGGGCTGCCCTTTGTCACCGGTTCTGTTCACTGTATTCATGGACAGAATTTCTAGGCGCAGCCAAGGGTCGGAGGGGGTCCGGTTCGTGGGACCACAGGATTTCATCTCTGCTGTTTGCAGACAATGTTGTCCTGTTGGCTCCAACGAACCAGGACCAGGACATGCACTGGGACGGTTTGCAGCCGAGTGTGAAGCGGCTGGGATGAGAATCAGCACCTCCAAATCTGAGGCCATGGTGCTCGACCGGAAAAAGGTGCCTTGCCCTCTCCGGGTGGGTGGAGAGGCCCTTCCTCAAGTGGAGGAGTTCAAGTATCTCGGGGTCTTGTTCACGAGTGAGGGAAGGATGGAGCGTGAGATTGACAGGCGGATCGGTGCAGCGTGCGCAGTGATGCGGTCGCTGTATCGGACCGTTGTGGTAAAGAGGGAGCTGAGCCGAAAGGCAAGGCTCTCAATTTACCGGTCAATCTTCGTTCCCTCCCTCACCTATGGTCATGAGCTTTGGGTAATGACCGAAAGAACAAGATCGCGGATACAAGCGGTCGAAATGAGCTTCCTCCGCAGAGTGGCTGGGCGCTCCCTTAGAGATAGGGTGAGGAGCTCAGTCACACGGGAGGAGCTCGGAGTAGAGCCGCTGCTACTCCACGTCGAGAGGAACCAGTTGAGGTGGCTCGGGCATCTGTTCCGGATGCCTCCTGGACGCCTCCCTGGGGAGGTGTTCCGGGCACGTCCCACCGGGAGGAGGCCCCGGGGAAGACCCAGGACATGCTGGAGGGACTATGTCTCTCAGCTGGCCTGGGAACGCCTTGGGGTCCCCCCGGACGAGCTGGAGGAAGTGTGTGTGGATAGGGAAGTCTGGGCGTCTCTGCTTAGACTGCTGCCCCCGCAACCCGGCAACGGATGAAGCGGAAGAAAATGGATGGATGGATGGATGGCATTTCAACCTTCATCTCAAACATTCAAAGATCAAAGGCGCCTGCAACATAATGATAGCTCGCTCCGACACATCTCTCTGCCCCTACAGGTCGATGATGCGTTACACTCGCCTCCGCTGTCAAAAAGGACCAGCAACAGCAACAGCTGGGGCGCTGGTCCTCGTCGGCTCTCTCCACCTACATCAGGCCAGATGCAACCGTCATCATGGCAGCACAACGACTACTGGCTTCCTCGTAAGCTCCCAGCAAAGCAATGCAAAGCAAAGCAAAAGTAAGCAAAGCAATAAAATCCTGGTGGCGGCACGCACTCTCCTCAAACGCTCTCCCGCTGCTGCAGCGTCTGGCTGAACATGATGCGTGCGCTCATGTTCTCAGCTCGCTCAAAGATGCCCCAGCTTGCAGCGTCTGGCTGAACATGATGCACAGAGCTGGACTCGCACTCAATCCCCGGAGTGGTTGTTGAGCAGCCCCGCGCTCATGTTCTCAGCTCGCTAGGGATAACACCTGCTCCCAGCTTGCAGCGACTGACGAGCATGATGCACTGAGTTTGACTCACACCCTACTCCCCGGAGTGGGTGCTGAGCGGCCCCGCGCTCATGTTCTCAGCTCGCTAGGGATAACACCTGCTTGCAGCGCCTAGAGAACATGACGCAACCCTGCAGCCCCGCGTTCATGTTCTCAGCGCGCTCAGGCCCCGCATCTCTGCCCAAACAAATGCGGGCCCCCAGCAGACGCAGCCTGGCTGAGCGACGGTGCGAGAAGCCTTGCACTCATGCTCTCAGGCCTGCGCAGTGCGTCCTGCTA